AATTCCACAAGTCAGTGTTTGTACAACTCTACTTAATTAGGAAGTCTCCCCTGGCATCTATGCTTCCTCTACAGCAAAGCTGGAGATATATTGCTTCTGAACTTTCCTGGTTCCTACTCCGTCCTTTACTACTGAACCTATCACATTGCAATTGACATGAATGAGGGACTGAACTGCTCTGTAGCTATATTTAGAGTCCAAGTCTCAGGGCACCCAAGACCCTAATGTTGTAAATAACTTGTCTGACAAAACAGGGTTTGCAAAACTAAAACTCTATGGTGGACCAAGGACCAAAAGTACTAATCAGTTTTAGAAATGATGTGTGATTAGAAATATAACATGATAAATTCATTCATTCATTCATATTTTAAATTTGTGCTAAGCCTACATGAGGTGCTAGGGATTACAAATATGATTGAGACCTAGGTGATGGTTCCTTAATAATTTGGGACTTATATAAATTAGGAAGACATGCATATATACATAAGCAATTATTTAATCACAACTTTATTAGACGTACAAAGTAAAAGTAAGGAATTAAATGAAGTCTATAGTAGAGAGACCTAATTCAATCTGGGAGTCAAGAAAAAAGTGCTATTCAAGAAGAAATAGTTAAGTATGTTTGTGTTATAAGGCAGTGTGGGAAGGAAAGGATATAAGGCAAAAGGGACAGCATATACAGAGGCCCAGAAGCAAGAGAGATTGACATGTTCGAGAAATAAGGAAAACTGATGGAGTTAGAGCAATATAACAAAAATATGTAGAGTAAAAAGATGAGCTGGGAAAGTAGAGGGGATGCAGATTATGCAGAGCCTCCCAAAACAAGGTAAGGCTCTTTAATTTTATGCTAATTGTAATTGGAAACCACCAAGAGGGTTTAAATCTACCTAATTTTAAATACAGTTCGCAGTCTTAAAAACTGGGGAATGGGTTGGAAAGGGGTAAGAGTGGAAGAGAGCAGAACAATTGGGAGGCTGTTGCAGGATGTTTAGGAGAGATGGTGACTTGGCCTAAAACAGTTGAAGAAATGATGCAGAATAGTAGATGGACTCAATAGATATTGAGGAACTAGAATCAATGGTCCTTGGCATTGATTAGCTGTCAGGGTTGAAGCAAAATGAGATTCCAACACTAATAGGCTCTTTCAATCAACAAATAGCTATTAACTGCCTCTTATGTGCCAGATAAACTGTTGGGGATGATGCCTTAAACACACAAGCCTTAGACTGCCTTCTTTCAAACATTGTAATACCAATCTGTTTATAAGAGAGCATTAAAAAGTTTACTTTATTTCTGATGCCTAATTGACTGTAATACAAGCTTTTAGAAGGAAGTTTCCCACTAAGCTTTGTCAGGTCATGAGCTGAGCTCATGGCTCCATCCCACCCACTGCCACTGAAGACAGTTCTCTTTCCATGTGTGTGCCTTGCAGCTTGCCGCTATGCCCCATCATATAGTTCTAGCTGTCCACTTCGAGTATTTTGAAAATCTGCCCGTCAGCCTTTTCTCCTGACTCACGTGAACAGTTAACACACTGAATTCTGCCCCAATCTCATTCTAACTGCATATGTTAGGCACATTACTAACCTCCTCAACTTCAGAGTTCTCTCTATAATAAAGTCATTTTAATTGATGCCAGTATCACTAACATCTTTCATGGGTGATCAGGTATAATACGCCTCCTAAGTGATATGATATGAAATAACATCATTCACCTATGATGTAGATTTGCCACAGACTTTTAACTAGAATATAACCAACCCTTGAGATCCATCTCCCAGCTATTGGACACAAAAGGAGTAGATCAGCAGGAAACAACCCCATAGGAGAACAAGTCCAGAAAGTGGACATCTGCCTAACAAATGGCCTGGCCTCTTTAGCAGGCCCAGGAGGATTTAAAAGAGTTGAGAGAAGAGACATAATAACTAAATGCAATACAGTGTTCTTGATTGGTGCAAGCTTGAAGGTACAACTGGGAAAATCTGAATATGAAAGCTGTAGTAGATAGTGTTAGGGAATTACTATTGATGGTGCTTGAGGTTAGTTTCATTAGGTATTATTATTTGGAAGAAATTTCTCTTATCATTTAGGAACATATAACAGGAGTATTTAATGGAGAAATATACTGATGTCTGTGTTATACTTTTGAAATTGTGTGTGTGTGTGTGGTGCACGTGTGCATTGCTTGTGTGCTTACATGTATAAACTAAAATGCAATGAAGTGCTACTGTTACTTAAACCCAGGTGATATATACATATAGGTGCCTTTATACTATTCTCTCTATTATTAAGTATTTAATAATAAAAAGTGAAATCCATAAAGTCATACCTATCTCACAATGTTATGAAGGTAAAATATAATGTCCCAAAAGACCTAATTTATATTATGTGTCATTTAGTAAATGAGTATTCTGTTTCACAACAATTTTCTTCTGTGCATCAGGACCTCATTTCAATCCAGAATCTCACTGCATTCAGCAGCCACGTATCAGGAAAGTGTGGTCAGAAATCTCCTGGGCCCTTGGAGGATAGTATGTAGGTGAGATGGCAGGCTGGCATCGTGCTTGGTGGACTAAACTTCTCTAGTAGTGGCCTATTCACTACCGTGCACAGAAATGCTGCAATTCTTTTCCAGCTCAAAAGCTGACACTCAGTATATTCATATGCAGAGTGTAGGACTATTCAGAACTCAAAAGACCTGAGGTCTGCCCCAGATGCAAAAGCAGAGTGAGGTATATCCAAGACTGGGAGGGTGGGAAGGAGACCGCACTGGGGTGAAGGCAGGAGACAGGCTTGTGCGTTATACATAGTCATAACCAAGTTTAATCTTGCTGCCGACAATAGTAGATAGCTTCCTTTTCACCCTCAGTATGTCCTGTTCAATGATAAATTATTTGGTCCTTCTAAATATATAGCACATTTCTCTCCTAAGTTCTTCTGTGATCTGTCCCTGGCCACTCCCTGTACTCCCTGTCCTGCTATCCACATTCCTACTTTGCTCTTTATCCTTAAAAAAAAAAGGCCCCTACTTTGCTCCTTGCAATAATCTAGCTGCATTCGTCTATAGCATCCATGAGCTCTGCTCTTTCTGACCTCTTCAGGTACTCATTTGCTGCCCCCTTCCCCACCTTTCTGTCGGGCAACCCTCTGTCTCTTCTCAAAGGCTTGAGTTCAAAGTTGTCTACTTTGGGAAACTTTTCTAGATTCCACAGAGAGAAGTTGTTTTTTTCTCCCCGGGTCAAGACACAGGGGAGGTATGTGAGGTGCCTTGGGCATACAATTTAAGGAGATCCTAATTCTCAGTGTGGTGCAAGTGCTGACTCTGCAGGTCCCATGATCCACAGTGAGCGCCTCCTTAAATTTTGTAATATAGTCTTCTCACTTGCCTCACCCTATCCTGGCCCTGGTCTCAGCATCTCCTGTATCCCCTCCTCGGGACTGCACAGGAGAAGTTACTTGTTGATCTGTCTTCCTGACTGGAATATGAACTCTTTCGCCTGAAGGACTACATCTTATTCATTATTCCAACCTCAGTCCCTACCACTGTGTATGGGCTTGGCACCCAGGCAGTGTTTACAAATGACGATTGGAATAGGACAACGATGTAGTGAGTCAAGTGGTGTTGGAAACACACGTGGTGTTAGGACATTTCATGATCAAGGACCAAATGCAAATGGCATCTGCCTCAGAGCTAGAAGAGGACCCATGGGTGGAAAGACTGGATAAAAGATAACACTTGTCATCTGAAAAATACCTAGTAACTGGATACCGGTGGACTGCTTAATAATAAATACTACCTGCCTTACAGGGGAGCCTGGAAAAAGATGCAGGGAAACAAAGTCTGACACATCAGCAAAGTTTTTAGTAGGGTGAAATCAGATTGTCCACTGAATCCAGGTTTCTCCAATTGGGAATCTCCCTTAATGCCCTCCATCCTTCTTCATGCTGTGTATATGGTATGGACATGCCATCAGGACAGAAGGAGTGGCATGATCTGGACTTTAGGAAGGCTCTTTCATGTACCTATAATTGTGCTTCCCCCCCCCCAAAGATTGTAGTGTTTAATCATTCCAAGAACTCATGAAGTAAGCGTGTCCCTGACCTGTGCATGGGGAAGGCCAGAGACATTGTGTAATGTTCTTGAAGCCACACAGCGAAGAGCTGGGTGAAAGAAGAGGGCATCCTATGCTTAGGCCAATTGAAACTTGGTTATGTTTAATAGAGCTCTGTTTTCCACTCCACAAAAAAAGCTGTCACAGACTAGAAACATAAACAGGTTCATGAGGTGCTTACACTTATTGTGTAAATACTTGAGCATCTACTGTGTACTCCACTGTGAACATCAAGTCCTAAAAATCTGAGCAAGGAAACTATCAGGATGGAATGAGGAGAGAGGGACAATAGATATTGAATGACTCATAGGTGGGTTTAAAAGAGCAAACGTATTCTCGAATAGCACCTTCTTCAGGGGAGATGCACAGAAATTGAAATAGCATGTTTGCAATAATGCTGAAAGCCACAGGATGGAAGAATCCCAGCAACAAAGCTGTTTCCTGAAACCTTTTTTTTTTTTTTTTTTTTTTTTTGCTTCTACGTTTAGGGTTAAGGAGCAAAAAAATCTCAACCTCATTTTGTGCTATAACTGAGTATCATCCATCACCTTGCAGTCCTCCTGAGAAATGACTTCAAATTCCCCTTGTGGCCTTTAAAAAAATGTTTCTATTGATTTCCAAGAGGAAGAGAGAGGGAGAAAGAGATAGAAACAGCAATGATAAGAGAGAACCATTTATAAGCAGCCTCCCACATGCCCCACCCTGAGGAATTGAACCATGATCCCCCCTCTGCACCTCTGCACCCCTCCTGTTCATAGGTTGATACTCAATCATGGAGGCCCACTGGCTGGGCATATGGCCCTTTATAAAAAATGTATTTTTATTGGCTTTAGAGAGAGGAAAGGAGAGGGAGAGAGAGTTAGAAACATCAATGGTGAAAGACTCCTGCAAAACCCCCTACCCACTACTGGGGATTAGCCTGCAACCCAGGCATGTGCCCTTGACCTGGGATCCTTCAGTCCCCAGGCCAATGCTCTATCTACTGAGCCAAATTGGCTAGAGTGGAATCACAAATGCCTTAACTCTGTTGTGCATACATTCTAGAGACTTCTTGGCAGGGTCTGTAAAGTATGCTCACATATTCTTCAGATTTCATCTTTGTAAGCACAGCTTCATGGCAAAACATTGTATTCCAAGTGCGACTGGGAAGTTTCATTCACCGCAGTAGCTGCCAATAACAAATAGGGAGTTTATTGTCACTCCAGCGAGCTCATCAAATCTAAATGACATGCGTTCCCTGTGGTTTCAGCTGATTCATTTCCGTAAGATGCAAGTGATACTTTTTTACAAGATATTCAAAGTCCAATTTAAGACTCTAAACTATAGTGGTATTAAATATACAATAGTTTTAAATTTGATATATATCATTAGAGTCTTAGCAGGAAAAAAAAAAGAGCATCCTCAAAAGGGTTTCTCTGAATATAATATTGTGAAGCACCTATTTAAGAGGCATGGGTATGGTTAAGGGAACGAACGATGGATGGAGAGGTACCCAAAAATGGTCAATGTCAGGAAATTTTTGCTGTCTCAGGCAGAAGGGATCAGGGGTAGAACTTGGAGGCTGGGGCCCAGGAAGAGGATTGGCCCAATGGGACCAGCCACAGTAGGAATGCAGTGGCTCAGTACAAAGGCTTGGTGGAAATGCCCCACTCTCTCCTTGCATCCTCTGGCCACTTGCTGGTGCTGCCCATTGTCTAATCCCAGTGAGAAGGCAGAGGGCAAGGGAGTCTGGGGATACTCATCATTGAGGTCAGCTCCCGGGGATCCATGACAGACAGAGAAGGACAGAGACTTATTTTGGGGGAGCTTATGCTAACCGAATTCAGATGTTACTCTGTAAAGTCAAAATAAACCTAGATTCTGATGTCAGAATGATCTGGATTCAAATTCCACCTACTAAAGGTAAGATCTTGAATTTTTTTCTGGGCAGCTTCAAGCGAGTTCCATCTTCTCCTTTTTGGGTTTCAGTTTCTTCATCCAGTAAAAGTGGAAATAGTAATAACTTCCAAGGATAAGAAAGAAGGAGAAGGAGAAGGAGAAGGAGAAGGAGAAGGAGGAGAAGGAGGAGAAGGAGGAGAAGGAGGAGAAGGAGGAGAAGGAGAAGAAGGAGAAGAAGGAGAAGGAGAAGAAGGGAAGGAGAAGGAGAAGAAATAATAACAATGATTTACCTACTTGAGTGATTATGAATATTAAGCAAGTTGACCAAAGGAAAAAGCCTGACACAGTGCTTGACACATGACATGGATTTGTTGATTTCCTCCAGTGTGCCCTCCTTCAGTTATTCCTTATATGGTGAGATGCCTGCCATGTGGAGATCGGAGAACCAGTTTGACCATTTTTCTTTTACTGGGTTCTTGCTGGGAGTCCCCTATTGACTCATAGCTGGAGCCATGGGCGGGACTGTGCTATTCCTGGAAACTTGTTTATTGGGGTCCCTTTGGATGCCAGAACCAACCATTTTTCTGGCATCACTTTTCTGAAGAAAACTTCTTGGGACATCCTCAGGTGAATGCCAATTTTATCTCATCAATAGGACACTGCTTCTTAGGGAACAGTTCCCTGGAGAACATTTCTTTAGCTACTATCATTCCCTGCACATAGGCAGACAGCCCAAATGCTTGTCCTTTCTCCTGGTGTGCACTACCTTTTGACAGGCATCAGCTGCTTTTGTAAAGATCTTGGCCAATTCAGTTCCAGATAGTTAGGGCAATCTCTTTCCAAATTGAAGCCACCAATGAGGCTTTGTATTGTTGTTGCTGTTTGCTAGTTTGGGAACATGGGAATGTTTGTTTCTTGTGAATTTTGATTGGACCCTTGGGAAGGGTACCCGTGATAGGAAAATAAGAAGCCACAGTAGTTGATTGGTTATTTAACTATTCATTGGTTGAAACTAGCATTTGTGTGCAGGGCATAGTCCCTAATTCTCATATCTATCCTGTAAAGTTGTTCTTATTTTCAGTTGAGGAAATTGATGCTCAGAGAGATGGGTTGAAATCTCCAGTTAGTAAAAAGTGGAGCTGGGCTAGAGACCATAGCTGTATCTGAATTAAAATACAGAGGTCTGTTTATCTTTATGATGGTTGCAGAGAGTCAATTGTAATATCTTCACCCAGTTATAGCCATCTAAAATCAAGTGACAAAGCTGTGGGTTTCCTCATGATTATTCATTTCTCTATTTCTTACTGCTAACCACTGCCCCTGCCTTAGAGTGGGTGTCTGTCTTAATGTTTGTTAAAAAAGATTGACTGAATGAGTCATCAATACAAAGATATTTTTGTCTCCATGTAGCATTTTTCTTTTGCATATTTATATTTCATTTGACAGTGTTTGAAAATTATATAATATTCCCTTTGCCATAACTTGCAGTGTGGAAATGCTTCCATATGCGAGAGTTTCTCGTTTGACTGAGGGAGAAAAAAAGACTAGGAAAAACATCACATAGTGGTTAAGCATTCATACAAACACAACTTATAGTATGGACTGTTTGTGAATGGTGTATTTTGCAAGGATGATTTTGCAAAAATATTGAAGTAGACATCCAGTTTGGATTGATATGGGTTAGGAAAATGTTCTCATGCAGCTAATACAGTTTTGTATTAATCCATTATGTTCTAGAAGGGAAGAAGGGCATGAATCCTGGAGCTTTTAAGTAAATTCATTACTTAATAGCTATGGGACTTGGGCAACTTAATCAATCCATCTGTGACTTAGTTTAACTTCTGTGTAAATGGATAAGAATACCATATCCCGCATGAGATGGTTGATAGAATTAAATTAATACAGGAGGAGTTCTTAAAACTGTGCCCGATAAATGGCTCAATAGATGTTCTTTTCCCCAAGCCCCATGAAATCCAGTTTGGAAAATTCATATCTCTTTCACCTCTCCAGCACCATCATCTCTACCTTATTCAGGAGCTCCTCAAGTCATGCCTGACTTATTTTACCCTCCAGCTCAGCTTCCAGTGACCACTGCACTGAATCCTTGAAGACTTAAATTAAACCAGGCCCTTCACCTTCCAGCAATGCCATCATTCCCTATCAACTTCAGGACTAAGTAAAACACCCTTGTGACATTCAAGATCTATGAACTCAGTACTTTTTCCTCCTCTGAACTCATCTCTCTTCATTCCCACATGCATGACACACTGCCAGTACCAGCATCTACAAGTAGAAAAAATGTTGGCCTGATGAAAAAGTAATAATCGGGTGAGAGGAAGGAGTGAGCAGCTAATTTTACTGATGGATTCAAAGAAGTTTTCAAAGAAGAGATATCTCAGTTGTATCTTGAAGAATAAGTTGATATCGGCCAGGCCAAGCAAGGTAGGGTGGAATATGACTGGATAGATCACCTAAAATGAGGGAAGGATGTGTGCACTGCAACAGGTAAACAAGATGTCTCCATGAAATGAGAACTTGTCTAATCCTGAGAGGGATGAACTAGAGGATGCTTAAATGTGGGAGTGAAAAAGAGGGGAGCATCAAAAAGGGTCCTTAAATCTGGCATGAATGCCTGGATGGAACACTAATGTTATTAATGGAGATAAGGAATATATAGGAGAATAAGTGTGTGTGTGTGTGTGTGTGTGTGTGTGTGTGTGTGTGTGTGTAATAGGAAATATTAAGTATCTGTGTTGTACACACATATACAAAAGTCATCTGGAAATGTTCATTACTAAGCTCCTAATCTTTTCCCCAATCCCACCTCTAGACCTATTTCCTGGCAAATTTTCACTTCTGAGCCAATGGCAATTATGTTCTTTAGAATCCTTGCATGCTGTCTCTCTCTTAAATTCTGAATCTGATGCTTCAGCAAGTTCTGTTACCTTATTTCCCCTCTAAAATATATCTAGCTTATGATCATTTCTTTTCATCTTTCTGGCTACCACTCTCATTAAAGCCACCATCTTTCATGGGATTACAGACACACCTCAGAGATACTGCGATTAAAGACCACCAAAATAGAGCAAGTACCACATAAAGTGGGTTATCATTTTTTGCTGGTGTCATTTTTGCCTTCAACTTGTGAAAAACATAACATCCGCGAAGCACAATAAAGCAAAGCACAATTTAAAAAAGTCTGTATTGATAGAGTGTGCTAAACTGCCTACCCTGCTTTCCACCTTGCCTTCCTTTGGCCCATTTTTAACACAGTAGCCAAGAGTGGTCCTCTTCAAAAGGCACATCAGGATGTCCATAGCCTCCCAAGCACATCCCATCTTTTTTGTAATTTTTTTATTTTATTTTATTGATTTTTCACAGAGAGGAAGAGAGAGGGTTAGAGTCAGAAACATCGATGAGAGACAATGTTTCTAACTCTCTATCTCTCCCTTCCTCTCTGTACAAAATCAATAAAATATATTTTTTAAAAAAAGAAACATCGATGAGAAAGAAACATGGATTATCTGCCTCTTGCACACCTCCCACTGGGGATATGCCCACAACCAAGGTACATGCCCTTGACCAGAATCAAACCCGGGACCTTTCAGTCCGCAGGCTGACGCTCTATCCACTGAGCCAAACCAGCTTGGACAGCACATCCCATCTTGCTCAGAGTAAAATGTAACGCATGTACAGTGCAATGCATGACTCAATCCTTCCAACCCTTGGCCCCATTGCTACTCAGACTTCCTCTAGTCCAGCCCTTTCTGTCACCACTCTGCCACACCTGATTCCTTAGTGTTCCTCAGACATGCCTGTATGTTTCTCTCTCTGAGACTTTCCAGCAACTGTTCCTTTGCCTTGAATGATTTTTCCTCAGGTGCCCACCTAATCATCTCCTTCATCTCCTTCAGATCTTCCCTCCAAAGTTATCCAGCCAGTGATGTCTCCTCTAGTTACTTATCTACACTGGTGGCTCCTTTTACCTCTGATCTCCCAATCTCTTCCCGTCTTCTCTGCACTTCTTTTCTTTAGCACATATGACTGTCCAGCATATTCTGTATTTTACCTTTATTTTTTATCTGTTGTTTGTCTCCATCCCTCTTGAATCTATAGTATACATTCTATGACAGCACTAATTCCTGTATCATTCGTTCCCCTCTGCTCCCTGTCTCTAGAACAGTGCCTGACCACAAGTTGTTCAATGGGTATTTGCTGAATACAAGTACAAATCCAGGTGGGGACTGTAGCAGTATGTTGCTGCAGGGATCTGGTACTCAGGAGGCAGATCTGGGTTAAAGATAGATTCGGAAATCCTTAGCAGTGACAGATGTGTGGGAGTAGCTAAAATGAACTAAGGAAAAGATATTAGTGAGATTAGAAAAAAAGGACCAACATAAAACGGGAAAAATAATAATTAGAGACTGTGCAGATTAAAGTGGCAGAGTTGAGAGCAAATGACTGGGATTACAGGCTAGAGTTAAAAATCTTTCACTCACCAGCTTTATGACTCTGGGGAAGCCACTAGATAATTCTTGGCCTCCTTATTCTCACGGGTAATTTTTAAAAAACACATCTCCATTTCAGAAGGCTGTTAAGAAGGCTAACTAATAAAATGCATAGAAATCAATTAGCAGAAGGTAACAGATAATATAGGTTGTGGTTGGTATTAATACTAACTCCTTCATCATTGTCATATCCAGGAAAGAATCCTGAACAATAGAAGAAATATGGGAACATAGTGGAAGATAAGTGAGGAGAGGTCTTCAAGAAAGAGAGGCAGTAAATGCTGTAGGTGCTGGTCTGCGGTCAAGGCTAACATTTTAAGAAGTACACAAGGCCCTGGGGTAGAGCTATTTGAGAGAACAGTTTCATTTGAATCAAAAAGTCACAATCCCATATTTTAAAACGAGCCAGTGTTTTGCAGAAAATAACAATAATTGTCTTAGAAAAAAAGTCAAATAAAAACAAAGCAAAACAACACGGACCCTCAATTGTGTCCAGCTGACAAATGCAGGAACATGGTGACCCAAAAAATTGCTTCTCTCTGGCTTTTGGGAGATTTACTTGCTCACTAGTCAGAACTAGTTTGCTAGTTTTATGAGGTTAAGCTATTGTGCAATACTATTAAGCCAGCTCTGTGGGTGTTTATTTACAGATGGCTGCCATCTTGATTTATTGTCTGTCAAATTATAATTATTAAGGATGGAGTTAATTGTCATTTCAACCACCTGGTAATTACCCATTGTGCTTTCATGTGGTGATAAATCTGTCCTTTACATCAAAATTTGAAGCTTCCTATGATATTTCACTTCCATGTTTATCTCCATTCATGTCTTGTTCAAAATAAGTGATTAACAGAAGCTATTGAACCTTTTTAGTGTAATCTGTGGACCTTCAAGTAGAAGAATTGCTGATTCTTGTAAATGTTTCTGAGTAGCAGGGCTGGTATAACAAGAATCCAGTGATGTGAGTTACAATAATTAAAATTAAAATAACGAGGCATCCTCTTTCAAAGATTAGTCTAATAAAAAAAATTAACAATGCTCCCAGTATATTCCATGCTGCACCACCTAGATGATGGTTTATAACCCTCATTATTTGTTTGCCCTATTGTTTACCCAAGTCATGTTATCCTTATGCCTTTCTGAACTTTTAGGACAGAATTCAGCAGTCAGTTAGGTTACCCTAGTCTTATAAGGCTCAGTCACTTTGATTCAGGGCTATGAATGGGATTGTCTGCTTGGTTCCTCTTTAGGGATCCATTTGATAGAACTAATGGGAAGACAGAGGGGGGGATATATATGCGTCATAAGAGCTGCATCCCTCATCACATATTTGGTGTCTGTTCCCTTGTTTATGTACTTATCCTTTTTCACTTTTCCCCTGTGAGTATATTTTCAGGAGTATACACAGAATTTGCTTAATTAGCTGGCTGAGGATCCAGTGGAATCTTTCCCACCACACACAGCCTTGGATGCTACTGTGGTCTCATCATCTGTATCCTCCCAAGGGATCCATCAGGCAAGCATTATGTGTCCAGCTTCCTCTAGCCTTTAGACTAAGAGCCTAGAGGAGAAGCCCATGTGCCTGGCTCCTCAATATGAGAAGGCAGAGCCACCTTCTAATTGAGAGCTGCCAACTTAGAGTCTTTGGTGACCACAAAGTCTCACCTTGGCACTTGCCTTGCAGTGAGACTCAGCCTGGGCTGATTTCTGCCAGTGCCTCTTTCCAGACAGAAAGCTATGTGTCCACTGGGCCCAGAGAAAACCTGTGAACAAAGTCTGCTTTCCTTCTCTTTGTAAGATTGTGAATCAGTTGAGGGAAAGCTCAGGGGGTAGAGGTGGGTATCTAGGACTGCCCTGTAGTTTGTCACTAGGCTCAGGAATTTCCTGATGTCTCCTAAGACATGCTGATGTGCCATATGAAATTTCCACTTTGGGGCAATTTTCTGCGGTCAAGTGCCTGCCATGGCTTCCCCTGCTCTCCCTTCCTCACTTCTACTCCATGACGCAAAGATCACTTCTTGCTTACAGGATGTCCTGATCTTTAGTACCTGCCCCCTTCAGTCTACCTTCCATACAGCATTGAGAGAGTTTTCAAAATCTGGCTTCCACCTACCCCTCCAATATCATGTTCCTGTGCTCCCCTTCATGGGTGACATTTCAAGATCTTTACATTGAAGTTTTAATTGACTTCCATGTCTTTTCCTCTCTGTGATAATAATCTGAAGTATGCTTAATTAATCTTCAAAATTCATGCATCAGCAGTCAGATCCTCAGAGAAGTCTTCTTTGGTCACTTCAATTCCCTTGCTAATTCTGTTTCTTATTGTATTTTGTCTATAATGTAGATTTCTTTCTACTCTTGCTATATCCCATAGTATAAAAATTTATTTTGTTTGCTATCCATCTCACTTCTCGCATTCTAAAGAATAGGATCTAGGATGGAACTATTTGTACATCTCCCATTGCCTATCACCACTAGCACAGGACCAAGTATGCAGTGGATACGAGATACATAGTTGCTGGTGGATTCTAATTAAACAGCTAAAATCCTGATTAATATTCTTGTACTGATGTTAATGTAAATGAATGTCTTTATGGAAAATTCAGAACTGGCTTAATGGAGAAGTTGACCCTTTATCCAAGACATACATTGGAATAAAAGACGGTTAATCATATCCAAATGGAAAGAAAAGAAGGCTTTGGTTTTGGTTAATAGAAAACATTTTTTTTTACTACATATTAAGGAAATGGGACATGCATTTCTTTTTATGGTCAATGTATATTTTCTTTTATATGAGAAATTTTCAGTGGAACTCAAAGGATGTTCTTTCTTTCCTTCTTTCTTTACTCCCTTCCCTCCCTACTTCCCTTCCTTCCTAAGGACTCCCTTCCCTTCCCTTCCCTTCCCTTCCCTTCCCTTCCCTTCCCTTCCCTTCCCTTCCCTTCCCTTCCCTTCCCTTCCCTTCCCTTCCCTTCCCTTCCCTTCCCTTCCCTTCCCTTCTCTTCCCTTCCCTTCCCTTCCCTTCCCTTATCCTTCCACCCTCCCTCCTTCCCTCCCTTCTTTCCTTCCTCATTCCCTCCTTTCTTCCTTTAAAAATAGACAATCTTGGACAAAACAGAGGCTGATAACTTCTATGGAGAAAGGTAGGAAGTCTATTCCTATGTCAGTACAATCCTTCTGATGGTAGATTAGGCCATCCCATCCCAACCCAAGATTATAAGTGAGATACACATTTCTGAGAAACTCTTGTTTTACTCATCATCAGCCTGCAGATCAATGTCTCAATTGGCCTAGCATAGAGACTGGTTCCATGAATGTCTGGGAAATTCTTTTTCTTGTTTGGAATTGAATAAGAACTATCTTTTCTGAAAAAAAAAATTCCGTATAAAACTTGAACTGTTCTATTTCTATTTTGATATCATCAGGAACTTTTCAAGGCAGAGCAGACAACTGAATTCTAGAGTGGTTTGAACATTGTACTAATAAAGCAGGTGACTCCTCAAGGCCTATCATTCTCTAGAATCTATTAATTATTGTTGTGATGGATTGTATATATCTATCTACTATCTTCCAATCAGAAAAATACTGCTCAGTATTTGCCTCACTGTCTCGTGGGAGTTGTAGTCTTTGTCCCTCTTACAGGAAACAGTTAAGTAAGAAGAGTTTAAGTGAGAGGTGCGGGGAAAGAGATCTGCTTGGGGCTATGGATTCGCCTTTGGTCTTTCTGATATTAAACTCTATTCTTGAGCACAGAGTTTGCTCTTTATTCTGCTTGTCAGGATCTCAACACAGAAGTTAAAAGGGAAGAAATAAACAGAATAGCATGTGTAAATTTCTCAGTAGAAAACAAGCCCTATCTGATTTCCTTTCCTCGAGCCGATGGATCCCGAAAGCCTGAGGAAGCAGTAATACTACACCTGGTAGGAACATGCTACTTCATCCTGGCCATGGGGTGGTGGGAAAAACACTGGTCTGACAGCCAGTGAACCAGGGGTCCAATCTTATCTGGCACTGACCAGTCATATCACCTTGGACAGCTCACTTCTTTTCTCTAGCCTCAATTTCCAGCTTTGATATAATGAGATGATCACTAAGGCTTCTTCCAGGTATGATATTCTGAGAAGTTGGAAGCCACAGGAGGAAGGGTGGGTCACGTGGCAAACCACTTAGTCCCATACACACCCAATTGAGCATCTGCCAAGAGGTATTTTCTTATCACCACAATGGAAACCTACTCTCAGGGCCTTACAATTGTTCATACCCATTGCATTAGTAACTCCACTCCTGGGAGTTTATTGTAAAGAAATAAACTTCTTTGGAAGGAGGAAAAGTTATATTAATAACAAAAATGTTGCTGATGGTATAATTCAAAATTTTCTGTTAGCTTAAGTGTCCATCAGTAGGCGAATGGACCAAGACATTCTGGGAAATTTGAGAGTTCTGAGAAGGATGTGGAGAAAGGCTTTTAGATCACAAGAAAGCAAAATGTAGTTGCTTTGTGGATTGCAAATACTAGTATGTATATGAATAAGTGAAATGAAAGAGGAATAATTATCTGTAGTGTACCCTCTATGGCCCAGGTGCTATACTAAGCATTTTGTCACATTTATCATCTCACAACTGTGAGGCTAGGTACCACCATTACCAATGTAAAGATTAGGGGTCTAAAATTCAGAAGGACAGTCACTAACCAGACCACCACTGCTGTTAATGGGTTAGTGCTCAAGATTCATACCCAGGTCTAACTGGTTTTCATTATTCATGGTAGTTATTGTCTACAAGGTCTGTGAACATTGAATTAGAGAATACTGAACCATTGCTCCTAAGTGCCTCTGGGGACAGCATATTTTATTAACTGATCATTACATAACCTTTGTTTCATGAGTATTTCTGTTTAAGGACCTTATTTAATGGATATTGTGAATGCATTTACACTGAACTCAGGCCACATCATGATAAGTCAGGCCAGGACGACATTTATCCAGCATATGTATATCCTCTGTAAGGCCTATCAGAGCCTTCCTGCATTTAGGAACACCAGACGGCAATTTGGCACTTACTTGGGGTTATTTCAAACAGCAAAATTACCAACAAAAAGCACAAAGATGTGAAAAACATGGTACTGAATAGACCACACATAAGGCAGTTGGTTACAACGTGAGAGCTGAAACAAGAAGACACCATCACCTCATTCAACCTC